GCCACATTTACGTTTACTAAGCCCTTACAATCTTTATGTGACCTGTCCACCTTAAGGAACCTTATGGGTTGGGTTCATTACTGGTGACTGTGGAAAAAACAATTTCACTTCCATTAGAGCAGAGCTGGGCTGGTTATCGCCTTGTACCGTTTAGCGTTACACTTCTTTCAGTTGAAGCTACCAAAAGCAAGGACGTCTTTGCCCAACAACCACGTGATATGAATTTCTTCTTTCTCAGGGGGGAGACAAGTTGGGCATACTGTAGGTGTACCATTTAAAGAGTTATTGTAGATTCTCTATGGAATGTGCTGACCACAAACACTGACATTGTAATCGGAATACCTTCTTCCCTATCAAGAGGGAGCTTGGCTGAGGATCTACACTAGGTAGTGGTGCTGGCGCTGCAGTCTGATAGAGAAGGTGATTGGCTATCACCAATATCTGTAACACTGGGAAAGTAATAAAAAACATACATTCAATGTGTATAAAATATATAGAGTTTAGATTTTGATCAAATGTTTTTTTTTTTCTCACCAGTTGGTCCTTTGTGATTGTCAGTGCTAAACCAGAGAGAGTTTTTTCTGACAAGAGATGTCAATCACCTCTGTAGTGAGAAAGCTGAGTGAGAGCACAGGTGATGAGTCTGTTTAACCTGTTGAATGTGGAGCCCGGTGAAAATCAAGAAAGAAAATCGGTATGAGCGAGGCTGGACTGCGATCCAGGTGCCCCTCCTCTGGGGTGCCCATCCTCACAGGCAGCAGTGTCTAACATGGCAAGATTGCAGCCAAACAGAGTTTGTCAATAGGAGGTCACGTTCTGGGAGAGGGTAATTCACAATGCCTGTCCGAGATCGACATTTCATCATCCATCATCCATTTGGAGTGATTGATGACATCCTGACGGCACAGTGTTACATTATTCAAATCCTAGGAGCTCACATTCTGCCTTTCCCGCTGGCTCGTCCTGATGAGACGACATCCCAGCACAGCAACGCACATCCCCACACTGCTCGTGCAACAGTGGCTCTCTCACGAGATAAGAGTGAGAGAGTTACGCCTACTCATCCGGCTTTGAACACTGTGTCATGTTTGACAACATGTGTCATCTGGATCTTAAGGACAAGTGAACAGGCACCTGCTTGCCTCATCTCTACGAGACAAATGGGCCACAATCCCACAAGACAGCCCCTGCAACCTGGTGAGACTTGTTAAAAGAAGATTTTGTCATTCTCCTGATGACTGCAAATTTGTTGCAGTTAGTGATAAGTATCCTATGCTGCTCAGTTTATATTGGGTTTGTATAGGTCCCATAAGTTACATTGTCCATCTAAAGCCCCACTGCTCCCCCTAGTGAAACAGTATAACTAATGCAGTCTCCCTATATTTCAGAATACTCTGAATACATTTTTTGAAAGTTCATAAAACTAAATTGAATTGCGTACAACCAAATATGTCAGAGCCAAGAGTTTCTGCATAGTTAAAAGTGTTGTTGAAAATATGGGAGTTAAAATGAATGCACTGATCTTTTGTAGGGATGTATTAACATATGTATTCCATAGACATTTCAAACAAGACACTATGTCATCCAACAAAGAGAAAAGAAACTACACAGAAATACATAATTTTATAGAATGAAAGCACTTCTGCCCTAGGATGCATCAAAGGTCAACAGTACATTCAAGAACATAAGGATATAAATAAAATGTGCAAGTGTTGGGCTCATAGAAAGCCATGGCTATTTAAAATAAATAATTATTTTTTCTTTTCTTAGCAAATTCACCCTTGACCAGGAGAGAAATGTAACTACATGCATTATAATTCATTATATTGTGACACTTTTGTATGGCAATTTGCAAGAATTGCACAATACCGGCTTTCGGGTCAAGGCTGTCTAAAACTGACTCGCACACAGTCCTACAATCATTCTGGGCTGACTGCTTCAAATACAGTGTGGAGTTTACTCACAAATTTTGGTAAAAAGAGAAAAAAGATGCATGTATAATATAATTATACTTATATAAAAGTAATTTATTCTTTCTGGTGGGTTACATTTTTTACAAACATCTTGTGAAATCAACACTTTCTTTACCTTTTTTCTTTAAAACACCACAAGGGGGACCCCTTACCTACAGTACTTCTTTCACTTTGGCATTCAGAATCCCTTCCTGACAGAAAAAATACATCAGGTTGTAGGAATAAGATTGCGTTACAACAGCTGAGACAGTGTAGCATTGTTATTTAATATTTTTATGGCTCTTTTTCCAGGTACTCACTTATTTGTCGAATCAATCAACTGGCTTTTCCCTTTTTTGTTAACGTTAAAATAAATCAATGCAAAGCAAACCTGTTTAGCTTTTCCTGTTCCACATGCTAACCAATTTTAGGTGGTTTTCAGGCTTAACTTGAAAGATTAAACACTAAAGATGTGTAAATTCATTATAAGAAGGCCAGGCGTGAACTTTGTTAGGTGGTCAGTATGTCACTCACTCGCTCAGTCCAGATTTTGTTTTCCAACACAAGAAAGTGTAACAGGAAGCAACAAGAAGCCTCCGTGATTAATGTGATAATATACTGTAGTTCAGTGCTCATGGTGTGCACTGACATTTTGAGTTCCCTGACAATCCATATAAATAAATGTACTCAAACACAGTTACGTGAATCAGTTTACCTGAAACCTTGAAACTATGATTAGAGGGCACCATGTGCATACTGTAAAACTACACAAAATGACTGCTTTGTTAGTGTGATGAGGGATGTTTTGCTGTGAAGAGATGGATGAAACCGACTGACTAGTGTTAACTGGAACAAATTACCATATTTGTATGAATCACAAATATATATATTAAAATAAAAATCCTGAACACATATACTTTTTGCTTGTAGCATAACACACTTTTTTACCATTACTTTTTACTGTTTAGATTAATATGTATTTATTTAAAAAAAAAGTCAACTTCTATATCAGAACAATTTTACTCCCTTTGGGTTTGAATGCACAGCTGAAACAGACAGAAAAGCCTGATCGATTTTTTTAGCTTGTGTCAGGTGTTTCAGTCACTTGACACCTTAAAGCCCATCTTGCATTAAACACGTAGTGTGTTTTCCAATCCCCTTGCACTGCTGAAGACCTTTGATTCATGAAGACCATTAAACTTTCACCCACAAACAGAAACGTGGAAAACAGCGCTGATTTAATTCTGGAGGAAATCCCAGAGAAAGTACAACAATGGAAAGGATTTTTTAAGAGAAAGCAATGCCGCAGGTAAATTAAATTTTATATAGTAATAACTACTGTATGGTCATATAATCAGCGTCAGTTCCATTTTTCAATGCTATGAGAGAAAAGCTCTCATCATGCTGGGCTTGTGTTCTTGCTGCTGTGAGCTTATTTTAGCTTTTAAACAGTCATTGAAAGCTGTCGGTGATCTATACTTACACTCTGTAACTCTACCACTGCACATGATACATCAATGTTAACGTTCCAATGCCTCTTGAAGGGCTAAAGGAAACTAAAATTTCAAAGCAAAACCCTTTTTCAATACACGTTTTTAATGACAGGCGTGTGTTTGCTTCTTAAACTTTTTAGCAAACAGCAAATACGCAGGATCTTTCTGTTGGATCAAGCCTGTTATATGAACAGCATTGATATTAATGGCTTCAAAAGAGAGAAACCAGAAAATGCATTACTTAAATTACACATACTGTACCTATAGTGAGCAGTTATTTCCACACCCTACCCTTTGTTTCAGAATATAACAATCATCATCCATGAAATACTCAGATCTTTATTTGTGCAGACATGGGAAATAAGGCAAATGAAAGTGTTGTTTTGCTTCATTCAATTTATTGCATCACTGCAAGGAAGGGAGGACTGTGGTCCCCATGTTGTCATTACTATATTACAAAAATATTCGTTTAGTTTTTTTAGAGAATTAAATTTAAAAAGTGTACATTACATTTAATTCATACTTCAGTTTGTAACGGCATTAACACTATTTCTGTATGTAGCATTGTCATTATTTTCAGTTGCTAAATGTGCTCATATTTCTGAAGATCAGTCTAAAAAATACATTCAACTACTTCAACCAAATTGAGTTGAAACAGACACAACCATTTATGCTTTACAATTACTGCAAACTCTGGAAGGATAGCATTTAACAATCAAAGTCTTTAAATTGAAATGTCTGAAGTGTATCATGTATTTTAAGATGGCATCCTGTTTTCTCTTTTGTTGCAAAGAATTTTTACCCAAAGTATACACACTCGAATTGTGATTTAAATGGGTCTTGCACATTGACTCAGGATTCCTTCCTGGGTTTTAGGCTGACATATGTCCTTATATATCCGTATATGTCCTTGAGTGTTAATCTAAGAAAGCCATCTCCACAACAAGAATTCATTAATATGTAGTCAGTCGTTTATCTTAGTTACATTTTTAACAGACTAAGCAATTAAAATGATGACTATGCAAAAAAGAGTACCTACTCCTGTTTACTGGACAGAGTGGGCTAAAACTAGGTTTTGTCCTTCTGTCCTTCAGTTTCCTTAAATAAATATGAGGTATGCTCTAACTTATAAACCAAGAAAGATTGCATTGCTAGGCAGAGGATCTCTAAAAATGTAAAGAATATCAAAACAATAGCCACCACCATACTCAATCCTGTAAAGACATATCACTCTAAAAACAGAAATCCGTGGCTAGAAATCACAAAAGTTACGTTCAGCAGCCACTGCTTGAAACATTCCCTTTGGTCACACTGGCTTGCCTGTAGCAATGCACTGAAATTGTAATATACTGTATATATTTCTTACAAAAACTACAGAGGTCTGCCTCATGAAAATGGACACCCCCACAGAAGCAGCAGAAGTGTCCAGATTTCCCCTGGTACAGTACATCAGTTAGTATCCATGAATATCCACCTTGTGTGTGGCCAGTGGAGCTCGGCCTTACACTGATGCACACGGGTGCACTGCCGAGAAGAGTGTGGTTGTGTTTTTCAGGGGGTTTAGGAGCGACTGTGTGACCTCCACTGTACATCAAGGCCTACTGAAGCGTGTCAGGGCTCTGCTGTAAGCATGGGATAACCTGTCCTGAAACTGCAGAAAACGCACAGCGTCTTGACTTCAGCCTGAACGCGCTTTTTGGACGGGCAGGAAGCAGCCATCCCAGCGCGCAGTGAATGGAGGCCGTCCCGCAGACGAGGGCGGTGAGGCCCGTCGACCCCCCAGACGGGGGCTACGGGTGGTTCGTTCTTCTCTCCACCTTCTTCGTTTTCGGCCTGACGTTTGGAGTCATCAAGTCCTTTGGGGTGTTCTACGTGGAGATTCAAAAATACTTCTCCACCACTGCTACCAGCACCTCATGGATCACTTCCGTTGCCGTGGCGACTGTCCACATTGCCGGTAAATATATTTTCCCATCACCGGCGAACACGTGGACATGCGTTTTATTTCTATTCCATTCGGAATTGCTGCCGGTACTGGTTCGGGAGAGAATAAGACATGTAGATCGTGCTCCTCCAGTCCGCTCCCCTGTTGAGCCATTTCCTGTTTGAGGAGCTGTAATCTTGGCTGTATTGGAGAAGTAATGCACCACTCACTGGCATCAATGCCTGGCAAGGAGCAGGAGCTGCTTTCTCCTGGAAGGCTGAGAGCCCTGGCAGACCACCCTCAGTTCTGCCTCAGTACTTATCTGCCAGTAATGGTCCTGGATACTTAGTACTATCTATACATTTTCTAACCACTTAGTCCAAGGGTACAGCATTTGGATTGAGTTTCCTTGCTAGGAGCATGAACAGTAGAGCAGACATGTGAAACCATTCAGGTTCAATGGAAGAAAACTGTGCCTGGATAACTTGTCCTCACTGGAGCTCAAGTTTCCTGATACTTTCCTCCTTGATATAAACAAGTAATAAAGCTGAAATACAAGACTTAGGGGAATCCTCTATTTAATTACAATGTTCACTCTATTTCCAGCAAGTTTCTCCCTTTGCAATCCTTACTTCACTGTTTCACTTTGAAATGTGAATACTGACATTTGAATATACTGTATATATTTTTATATTTAAATAATTTGAATTAATACTGTTTTTTAAATTGTATTTTAAATTATAGCTGGAACATATACAAGTACCTAGTGCCAACAGGAAAAATAAAGTTCTAAATTTTTGCAATAATTTCAAATTCTATAGATTTTTGATATATGAAATCACAAAAGAAGCAGCTGTAGAACCCAACTCATATGTTTACTGTATATTGCAGACTGCTTACAGTAAGGTAAACCTGGAATTCTTATAAAAGCAATGATTTAACTGAGTATGTTATAGGGAGATGGCAATACAACACTTCACCCTTTTACCCACAGAGAAAAATAATCAAAAGATTATTTCGAAACTGGTGTAAGAATCTCTCAGGCCATGAGAGGGACCCCCTTCTCAGTCAGAAGATCCCCCTGAGAAATCTCCCTCAGAGGCCCTCTATTCTAAATTTACAAAGGGAACGGAGATGCAGAGCAGCAGAGTAAATCTTTCTGGAACGCCGAACGAGAGCAGCCTGAATCAGTGGCGGGAAGTGGGATGCCTCACGCACACAGGGGGGCGCCGAGTCACGCTGCTCTCCTCTGTCCTGCCCAGCTCCCCTGGGCGCGGCGCTGAGCGTGCGCTTCGGGCACCGCGCGGTGGTCACGGCAGGGGGAGCGCTGGCTGCGCTCGGGATGATTGCGGGCGCCTTCGCACGGGACCTCGTCCACCTCTACGGGGCCGTGGGCCTCCTCTCAGGTCAGCGGACAGCTCTCGGTGGATGCTGAATATCTGAGCTCATAAGCCTGGCATGTTTAGTGGAGCCCAGAATTATCTTCCGGTTTTGCAAATGCCAATTAACTCCTTTTTTAAAGCAGTTGTTGCTCTTCACATTTTATATAAAGATACCTTTATTAAGTTAGTTTATTCAGTACTGCAGCTATCTGCACCCCTATATATTTCCCAGTCTTCCTAATAGTATGCATACTATCATGTACGATACTATTGTATATTATAATATTAGACAGTGCATCTATTACATTGCTTTGCAAGATGTGCAAGATATACAGACCCTTTGGGGAACAGATATCTGGTGTTTTAACATACAGTATGGAATCTACTCCGGAATATGGAATGTAAATATGTAAATAGGGACTTTACTAGCCAAGAGACAACTTAGAAGCCAGAAAAACTATCAGAGTATCAGGATATTTTTAACACCATCCATATTTAATCAGCTACAGTATGAGTGCCAGAGCAGCTATGATGTATATTTCCAGTCAGGACCATCAAGAAGAATCTGCTCCATATCTAGTCACTGTATGTGTAGTGAATATACCAGGTAATCAATGCCGAAGTGTCTCTCCTTAATCAGCAACTTTGTCTGTTTTTCTGAATTGCAGGTTTTGGATATGCCCTCACATGGACTCCCACCGTGACGATGCTGGGCAGATACTTTGAGAGGAGAAGGCCGATGGCCAATGGGTTGGCGAGCGCGGGGGAGTGTGTGGTCACCTTTCTCATCAGCCCTCTCTTCCAGTTCCTGGTGGACTGCTACACCTGGCGCGGGGCGATTCTGATTCTGGGAGGGATCGAGCTCAACCTGTGCGTCTGTGGAGCACTGCTCAGACCAATCCACCTCCGCCAAGACGATCCTGAAGAAACAGTGGAGCTTGAAGAGCTGCCGAACAAAACAGAGACCCAACAGAGGTCCAGTCAGAGCAGAGGAACAGGAAGGATCATCCAATACATAGATTATAGGCTGATAAAGAATGGGCGCTTCATGGTCTATGCAATGTTCGGTGTCTTTGCAGCCCTGGGCTTTTTTGCTCCAGCTTTGTTTTTGGTGCCCTATGCTAGAAGCAAAGGGGTAGCTGAATATCAAGCAGCCTCGCTCATGTCGATATCGGCCACCTCTGACCTAGCAGGGAGGATCGGCTGTGGCTGGCTTGCCAACTTGCGCCTTATAAAGACCATCAAACTGCTCTTCATTACAGTCACACTCCTGGGTGTGATCCTTCTGCTGTGTCCACTGGCTACCTCCTTCTGGCACCTGGTCATTTTCAGTGTGGCCTATGGCTTGGCGTTTGGATCAACTGTGGCCATCCACATCACTGTGCTGGCGGACCTTGTAGATGTGGCTCAGCTGGGAAGTGCCCTGGGCTTCTTCATGCTCATTCGCAGCAGTGGTGGACTACTTGGACCCCCCATTGCCGGTAAATGACATTTCCTTTCTAAAACTCTAATTCTGAGAATGTCTCACAGTCAGTATTATGTGGTGCGATTAACCCCAAGCTTCCCAAAAAGTTTTACATTGGAGTGCGGAGAGGCAAGATTAGGATCTAACCTTCCTCCAAGATTTCTATTTCAGTATGTTACTTCACTATCATTACCCTCTGACATTACCGATCTCATCACACCCAGGGTTTTTTATTGACAAGATGAGCAACTACGGGACTGGTTTCTTGATGGCTGGTGTGGCCCTCATCATCTCTGCTCTGTTTCTCCTTGTGCTGCACCAAATGAACAGGAGGGAAGAAATATCTAAACCAGTGTCGCCAGGGGTAAGTGAGTGGCCATCGGTGAAAGAACACGACAGCATAAACACATCTGACAATTTATCAACAATATAAAAAATAGATTGGAGTGTCCACGGTCATGCTTCTGTGCAGCCTGCAGGGATGTTCAATCCACATTCTCCCTGAATGCTTCACACTCAGAAGGGAGCCCATTCAACATTCAGCTTTCATAAACCAAACAGATCAGGTGAAGACATGACAAATCACTTCACCAAGTGAATACGGGGGGATCAGTATGGAAGCTAGGCTGATCAAGCCAGAGTGGAATTCAGCCAGGATATTGGGTTTAATTCACCAACTCTTACAAATAGTGTCATTGAATATCTGTTAATCTAAAGCAAGATTCTATCTCATGAACCATACAGTTCGCTATGTAAACAATTTGAAATACAGACCAGGCTTTAAGCACCTTAGATAAAGCAATGATAGGCTGACCTACAGTATAGGACAGAGCTAGTGGATTGCCCTCCCACTAGGTGGAATAATCCAAGGAGCTACTATAAGGACAGTAAAAGAAGGGGTAAATGTGGAAAATGTGTTGCACATCATCCAAAGTTACATTTAACTTCAATTTCACTATTGAACATCCACTAGACAGAATTCTTCAAAGCAATTTAACCCCTTGCAAGAAAGGAACACCAAATTCAACAGGAAAATCACAAACGAATACAAATAAAACCCTGAATTTTATGTTACTGAAATGTTAAATAATTTGACAACATTTTTGTTACATTTATAATATGGAATATTCACTGTAATTCGTCTACAAACAGCTGCTGTAACCAAAGCTTAATGCTCCTAGAGGCTTGTGATGATGGACAAAATGTATACAATATAGTAGATGTACTACTTTCCCTTTTCTTTCCTAGCGAGATGACAAGGCCAGGTGAATCATCTATCAAGGGCTGGAGGTACTTTTGGAAATCACCTACATTTTGCTGCTAGGGAGCTGCTCATCAAAGAACACAGCTCCCATTCTTTGAATCTGCCAATGTATCACCAGGTTGGGGAAACTGTGAACATCTGTTACTCTGTAAATCCACAAACTGGCACCACTGATCAGGAAACCTCCACTTTACAGTGCCTGCATTCCACATAGAACAATACTGTTTTTTTGTCGAAAAGTACATAGACATGGAACAATGCCTGAAATCATTTTGGGAATACCACAGCTCAATTAAAGCTTGTTCCATGAATGCTGTATTTAGGTTTTTCCATAAAGTGCCCAGTACTTTTCATTAAAATTCCTAACTAGCAATTGAACTGTTTACTTTATGTACAGTATGTGTGTGTTTGCAGCAGCTTGGAAAAACACTTATTGCAAATTCCATTCAACAAAAAGCACATCTCCTGAACAAATTTTAAACAGAAATCACATGATTGATCTACAGTATAACTATAATGTTGTCTGAGATCTTAATCTTGAATTAACAGATAGTTTATTTTTGTGGGAAAGCATTTCTAATCTTTCCCACCAAAATGGTGAATTACTTAACATGTCCCACTTCTATCCAATACATAAGACCTAGCAATGTTTAGTCTAAATGCTGAACTACTGCAAGAATGTCTAAGGACTCTAAGGACTGCATAAATAACTAATACACATTACAGACATATAGTTTACATACACTGATGCACGTCATCTGGGATAACTAAGAAGTATTTTTACAGATATTTACCACTCTGGTATCACATATTGCCGATGTTTAGTGCAATTAACTGATTGATAGAAAGATAGATACAAAGTGTGTATTTTTTGGCATTTCTAGATGTATTAACCCATAATTAAAATGGTTTTTGAATACAACTTATCTGCCAGTTTTGCTATACTCAGTTTGGGAAAGAATAATTAATTAAGATTTATTTAGCTATCTGTTATGCAAGAACAGTGCAGCAGAATACCAATCAAATAACTGACATCTAAACAAATCAGACTTTGGTAGACTACCCTGTCTAATCACACAGGACAATACGACAACATTGATTATGTCAGAGAAAACACACTTCCCAGGACTGACGTTTTTATATACAGTAAGATTCATGGAGGCAGTTTTTCCATCAGAAGTGAATCAACAAGTAGTTTGGGCAAGCATGCCATAAATTACAGTAAAAGAGCCTATTCACTATCTGATTCCAAAAATCTAACATCAAAAATTTAAATTTCCCCCAAATTACTTCCTTCTTCTTCCTTTACCTTCTTCCTGTGCTGAAGCTCAGAGGATGTGCTCCAATTTGCTACAGCTCTCTTTTGTTGCTGACCCCTCACTGAAGGGTTTTTAAATTACAGTGAGGAGCACTATTGCTATGTCCTCCTACTGTACGTCAAGCAGAATTTCTAATGCTACGTGATTGTATGGTTTGTCTGCACATCCTAATAGATGACAACATTTTGAAAAACTAGCAAAGACCAGCAAGCAGTCTAGAAAAGTTTGCTTGTCAGAGAGAGCCAATCCCTCTTACTGGTCATACCGAACCTCATAATCCAGTGTGCAGAGATCCAGTGTCTCTTTGGTGTAATATTGCATGCAGTGTGAACACAAGAATAGTTGCAAACATGGGAAAGCACCTAGTTGTGTGGCAGCTGGTAGCTCCAAATATCTTATCTAGCTAACTCCCCCATCAGCTTCCACAACAATGGAGCGGCTTACCCTTACTCTTACAACCCTTTGCACAAAGGGATGTTCCTTTCTCTCAGCCTTCCAATACCACTACCCCAGTTCCTCCCTGTATCCTGTGCTCTGCATTTCACAGTAATCCTGAAATCAACTGGGCTGATTTTGTCGTTGCCTTTGAGGACTGATTACTTCAATCAACTCCCCTTTCAGATTTCATTCTTTTAGCCTGTATGCATGAGGCTTTGCACTGGAACACAACTAGTCACTCATTCTCTTTAGTCTAAACTTAAACTGTTGTTTACATACAGTAGTTGCTCTTGTTTGCATTCATTCCAGAGCTGCAGAATTGTTGCAATGTGGCAACTGATTGTGTGCAACATTCTTCTTTAAGATTTAGTAATGCATTGCACATGTTTGGTGATCGACAGTTAATGTTTTTGAAAGAACAGAATCAAATAGTATATATATATACACAGGTACTGCATATACACAAGAGTCCAAATATGGAAAATAAATAAAAGTAAAACTGATAAGGTTTATAACTCATAACTCACTCTAACAAAGATTCTTTGCTTCTACTTGGAAGAAAAGTACATAGCAACATAAAAATCTGAGTAGAAATATGCAGTCTAAAGAGCTGCAAGAGCTCTCTACCAGTACTGAGTCATTGTACAGTGCAATAGGAACAAACTGTTTTCCTTTTCTGATAAAAGGAAAAGGCGGTCACTTCTTTATTTCAGAAAGAAATGCAATTACAGTACATATCCTGTATGGCTGGTATAAGCATTCATTTCTTCATAAAAAGCACAGCTGCTAACAGATTCAGATTTGTAGGGGGATACCTTGTCATTACTGTTGTTAGCTAGAAAAACAGCGGAGGTTAAAAAAGAAAAAGGAAGCAAATATCATGTAATTTACTAGTTTTTCCATTTGTCATCTTTCCATTTGAAGTGATTCTTGTTGGTTAAACTTATGCCTAATGGGATATTTAACGAAAACAAAACTATGTGAAGAAAATCACATGGTATGACTTCCTCTAACCCCTGCTTTAATGTCAAAACCTTGTTGTGGCCTGCAAATGATGCACTATCTGTTGGGATAATTAATGTAATAAAAAACTGTCTTAAATAATTTCACCTTAACCATTTTATTAGTTTTCCATTCTGATAAAGAGCTCCAGGGGACAGACCAAGATAATTAATAAGACATTCTAAATAAAATTAAGTTATTGGTTATATTCTACTTATAGATAAATGTAAATATCCTATAAAACCCCTTCTCATCTGTGCAGTGACTTACTATACCACATAATATACTCACTACTAGACTATTTATTTCAGACTGTAAATAAAATAAAAATGAAATGTATAGCATATGAAGGGTTTCATGCATATGGCATGCATTAAAAGAAAATAAAACCCATATGTCCTTTCAATGGTATGGGGGTAAACAGAGAATCCAACTTTTTTTTTTCCATTTCTTGGCTTTCTTACATTTATTACAGCATATTGTGAACTGCATATAAAACATCCTAGCAACTTCACTGCTTTGGAAACATTAAAAAAATCTCTTTGGGTGAAATAAAAAGAACAGAAAAGGCGGAGAATGTAAAGTCCACGCTAGATGAATCTCCACTCTCTCCACTTTTTTCTCAAGGTGCAATTCTACTGACAACAGATCCCGACACCTCAGAGGCTCCTTCGCAGAAACAGTTGTCTGTCAGGACTCAAAGAACGTTATTTGTCAGACCTATTTAAACTTTACTCGGATCTTAACTTGACCTTGAGAAAGCATATGGGCGGATGGTAGTTATAGTAACAGAATCTTGAAAGGTTTCCCTTGTTTGACCTTGTGCTAAGGGGTTACGCAGGAATGTGTGCCAGCACCTGAGTTCAAAGCAGTTTAAACCACATTGCACTGCATCTGGGAGAAGAAAGAACAGATTCAAAGAAGACCAGCAAGAAAATGATCCCGCCATCATGGATACTGATTAAGGGAAATAAATACTACTACTCCCCAGAGGCACTAGGACGGAATTGATGGTGAATAATCGGCAGAAAATGACACTAACAAGTTTTGAATCTGTGGCAGCAGGGGCTTGGTTAATGACTGAGTGAAATCATGCACAGCCTTCAAGAGATTATACCCTCCTAATCAACATCAGGGAAAGTCATGCCATGTCCAGCCTTTTGAAAAACGTCAAGAGAAATGGCATCGTCTCATGTGTTCAGCTAAAGAATACCTTCCCAATGTGCTTTTGTTTGCAAATGATGATTTTCATTCAAGTACTCCACAACAAAGAGTGTTCAGATTTGTATTTTTATCTAGCTGGTGGATTTAGTTTCTTTTTCATTTGACCTTGCATATTTGCACAGAAGATTGGAAAGGGTTGAAATTTAACAAAAATAGTGTGCCCTTATTTAAATCTGATGATCATATAGTGATCCTAAGACACGGAATGAGGATCAGAGAAGGTATACTCCCAAACCAAGGTTTTTACACTTACTAAAAATGCTACTGAGTAGAATACAAAGTGTTGTTAGAAAATATCTTTTAAAAATATCTAAAACTCTGAATCTGCTTTACTCACTTTGACTTGACTTTTTTTTTATTTCAAAGAGTAAATGCTTCTAAGAGACTGAGCCCACACTCTTTTAGTTCCGTGCCAGGGTTGTGTTTCTTTTGATGTGGAGCTCCACAATAAAGATCGACTGATCTCTTCTGTGCACTGACAACTCTGTGTGCATGTGAAGACGATTACAGTTAATCAGAGGACAATCTGATGTGTTATGTCTTTCACAAAATCCCAATTACCTTTATCATTGCTCCCACTTAGCCTTATTTTGTCTCGACTTAATTCAATCTCCTAGGTCATCTGTGAAAGGCAATCAACCTGTATCTACCCTGCAGCCTTCAACTTCCTCTATTATTGTTTGCTCCGCTCTTTTAAGCAAAGGCATCCTGTAACCAAGTCTAATGCTACAGTGCAGGCAGCACATTTTCCTTCGTTTCAGGTTAAAAAACAACCATGCAAGCGAAAAGATGAAATCTTTCAACCCAAACCTCTTTGTGTTTAACTTTGGATCAAAACCTTAATGTTTCAGAAAACATATTGTCTGCAATATGGGCAGTAACATTTTCTGTTACAAGCATAAATTTGGTTATTTTTATAGATTTCAACACGCACTAAAACTCATTTTTGAGACAAGACCATCAGTTCAAAATATTTCACTGCATTTCCCAGCTGCATTTTCACTGTTAAAGACACTGATTTATAGTGGGGGACAGAGATCACCTTTAGCTTGGAATTAGCACGAGTTCACAATACCATGTGCTTTACAATTCACACAGTAATGGGACTGATGGGATATGTCTGACTTTCTTAGAAACTGGTGCAAAATACTACTGCTACCTGGTTAGGGCCCCATAATCCTGGGAGACTTAAAGACAGCTAAGGCTTTGAAAAGATCTCTTAAAATCTATCAAATTTTCTTATACCCTTACGACTGGAACTGAAACTCCCTATTAACTGTCATGGCTGCTTTACTACAGTAATTTTGATTCCTTTGTGCAACTGTATATAAAAAGTCAGATTTTAAAAACTTCTCCTCATTTCCTTTAAATTAAGATATTCATATAGTGC